AATCAAGGTTAGAACGTGTGAGGCTCACTTTGATCATGTCCTGGTAAGGTAAATTTGGTTTCACCACTTCCCGCTTCCCAATACTCAGCTGACCATATAATAGTTTTTTCGGAATCCTCGTCGAATCCATACGGCTCACATGACCGAGCCATCTCAGGTGCCCCAATAAAAGTATGCAGTCCACTGCATACATCACACTTCGGCACAAAACTTCCGTGTCTGCAACTCTGGCGCCCCAGCCGATCCGCAAAATTCCTCGCAGACAATGCTAATGGAACCGTTCAGGATATCGCATATCCCGATGGTACATCGTCCACGTTTCACTGCCGTATAGAAGAACGGACAGTACCATGGATTTGTACACCATCAGATTCGTGCCAATGATAAGCTGATGGTTGTTCCACACACGGCACTCTAGCTTCCCGAATGCTGCTGCTGTCTTCGACACGCGAATACGCAGCTCACTGTGTAGCTGCTGATCAGTCGACATCACACTCCTAAGGTAGCAAAAGCGGGAGGTGGTTTCCAATACTTCAGCACCAATGCTGATTCGCGGCAATATTGAAGATTGCACCTCCGGTGAAGGCTGAAAGAGACAGACAGTTTTGCTTGTGTTGATGGTGAGCCCGAATTTGGCCGCTGTCGAAGCTAGAGCACTAGTCATGTGCTGCAACTCATCCGCGCTGTGTGAAAACAACGCACAGTCATCAGCAAACAGCAACATACGGATAGTTGTCTCACAGACTAGAGTTCTTGCACCGAAACGACGGACGTTCAACAACCCACCATCAATACGGTGCTCCACACGAACACCGTAAGCACAAGCGGCATCAAAAGCACAAGACAACATTGCATGAAGATATATATTAAACAGGGCAGGAGCTAAGACACAGCCTTGCTTCCCACCAGAGACAACTGCAAATTCATTCGAGATCTCTCCACTCAGCTACACACTCGCTCGCATACCACTGTGCAGATATACAATTAAACTTACAAACTTACGCGGGCAACCAAACTTACCCAACACCAGCCACAATGTCTCGCGGTTCACCGTATCAAATGCCTTGGTGAAATCAACAAAAGGCGAGTACAATGGCTGGTGTCGTTCTCTGCACTTCTCCTGCAACTGACGAGCCGCAAACACCATATCTATAGTGCTGCGACCCGAACGGAATCCACACTGCTCTCTCCGCCACGTTAGGTTCCACAATCTGACTGACGAGGCGGTTGAGCAGGATTCGGGCAATCACCTTGCCCACACAATTCAGCAAGTTGATGCCACGATAATTCGTGCAAAATTGATTGCTACCTTTGCCCTTGTACAGTGGTAGCACAAGGGCATCCTTCAGCTCAGGAGGCACCTCCTCCTCAATCCACACGCGTTGCACCAAGTGGTGCAGCGCAGTCAACAACGCGGGTCCGCCGTGTTTCAATACTTCAGGCGGGATCCCGTCGGCTCCGGCACACTTGCCGTTTCGCAGCTGAGCAAGTGCTCTCTGCGTCTCATCCAGTGTCGGCGTATCCGCCAGATCCGCCTTCACATCGTGCTGCTTCAGGCCGTTCAATGTAGGCCAGTCGATCTCTGAACGGTTGTTCAAGAGACAGTCAAAGTGTTTCCGCCAGATCTGCATTATGTCTGCAGTCTGGGTGCAGGTAGCGCCTGAACTACCATCGATCAGTGTCCTCAGCGGCTCCAATCTCGGTCCATACACCGCCTTCAAGGAGTCAAAGAATTCCTTGTGTTGACGGCGTTCGGCGTAGCATTCCATCTGCTTCGCCTTCTCCGTCCACCATGCATTTTTAATGCGACGGAGCTCTCGGGTCAGTCGCCGTCGAAGTTTGCGAAACTGACTACTCTTCCCCAAGTCACTGGGGTCTGCAACATGTGCAGCAAATGCTGCATTCTTCTCCGACACCAATGCGCCGATCGTCGCATTGTTGTCATCAAACCAATCAGGCCGTTTACAGTTTGCGCGCCCGATGGTCTCCTCGGCAGCAGCTGTCACCTGATCGCGAATGTGGTGCCACAGGTCGCCCACTGTGGCTATGCAGTCCACATCACACAGGCGTGCAGCCATCGCCTTCTCCAGCTCAGTACGTTTCGCCACAGTACCGAGGGAGAGAATGTTAAATTTACGCCGATTCACGGCGGGAGTGCAATACATAGATTTACGAAAATATATGTACAGTTTGGTCCGCACCAACTTGTGATCAGTGCCACACTCAGCTCCACGCAGTACACGTGTCATGCGCACTTCACGCATATCACGCTGACGTACGATGACATAGTCGAGCAGGTGAGCACCGAGAGCACAGCTCTAGTGTGTGACTTCCAGTTTGCCCTCCTTGTGCCCTAGAGCACGACCCCCCTCTCGCTGTCACCATAACTAGACCCTCCTGCTCCTCCCTATCTATACCTCTCCCTAGATGACACTGTAACTGTGAGAAGCTCTGACGTATAGAGTGTCATCGTGCAATTAGATGACTCTTCCCCCCAGTCCCTCACTGTTAAGTCGTGTGTGTAATAAAATGCACTACCTATCAAATTTCTCCTCATTCCAGTTCAGCGTCTCCTCATCTTAAAATGCTTTCGATCCATATCATGTCAGAATCAACGCTCTGCACGTAACTCCATCCTACTGTCTGACTCTAACACGTCCCCCCAAATAGTCGCACCACTACAGTCCGCGTACTTGCACCTCTGATCACCCACCGTTACTCCTCATTTCTCGTCAACTGCCCCCTGCTACACTGTGACTACACAGACATACTACATCACGTCCCCACTATGTGTACCCTCTCCTCCCACCCCCTGCTGTGCGGCACGTGTTGTGTCCACCCCGTCCTTTGTGCGCTTTCGTCACTATGTGCGCTAACCCTCCCTGTGTCTCTCCCCCCGCGTAAGTGATATCTATCACTACTTAGTCGAGATCGATTGCGCATTTGATCTCCTCTCGCTCCGTGTGCACCATCGACGCGTAGACCCATAATACTGTCATAGTGTCACGTAGAGTAGTATAAATCTCACTAATACTCATACAACAGAGAGGAAGCGCGCTCCTCACAGATAGACATCGCGCGCCCTACTCCGTACAGTCGCTGTGCCCCTCAATATAATCATCTATGTGACAATGTTGTGTGTGTGTGTGTGTCGCACCTGTATAATTGTGCACGAATGTAATAGCCAGAGACAAGTTTTTATCAATTACCAATTCCTCACACCAACTTCTTTATTTTACCCCACTTCCCCCCCTCTAACCCTCTCCCTCCATCCATGTCTGTTGTTGTCCACCAAATCTGTGAAGTTCCCGCTCCCGCGCCTCACGCGTACTTGTGCCAACTTCTTCGTATATCCGCTCATACTACATACGATGACTAAGGTGCTTGTGCGCATACGTTACGTGGTCACGAGAAATAGCAGAGTCGCCACGATTATCAGCTCGACCCAATACTTGTCGTATTCACTAGTGCCTCTGTGCTCGACGATTGTCTCGTACGCGGCTCGTTAAATAATGACCAGGCGTGGTATGTCGATTTCTCACCCTCGCTCTCCCGCTCTGCACGCCACTCGCTTCTCCGGCTATCCGCGTGTACGCCACACGTACCCCATGCCGTCTAGAGATTCACGCTGTCTTTTGTGGTCCTTCGCCGTCCTAGAACATTTTACACTCTTCCCGCGCTGTCACCCAATCGAGCTACACACACGATCCGTTACGTTCACATACCTCCGTGTCGCTGTATCCGTGCTCCAGATATGAGCTCTTCTCGCGCTCTGTTATGTACTCTGTGGACCTCTCTCACGCTGTCATCATATGAATCACGATAGCTCTATCACCTGCAAGAGAATTGTCGTGACGCGGTTAGTTCACTTCGGCCACAGAGCGCTCAACGCCCGAGCAGTGTTAAACCCACAGGCTATAAATCCACCTATACCTGTATTGTAACGTCGTTAAGTCGAACTTGCAGCACAAGTCGTGCTAGTGCTGTCGCGCATCAGCTATCCGTAGCTGTGCACAAGATGAGCAGCTTGGCTGCAATGCTAGCCTCCGCACATCTGACTGACCTATATCTAGAGAGTGACAGGCATATAGATTGCAGTCTCCGGATGATCATACAGTTCTCAGTCCAAATGACGACGCTCTCAGCATAGCCATGCTCGTGAGCGAGCTTTCCGTTATGCTTCGTTCCTGAGCTGCGATGATGCACGCGCGCGGGTATGCCCGATGCGCGCACGCGTATGTGTGCCGCGCTGCACGCGTTGCACTAGATAGGAGGCCCGCCTCGTGCTATCGCTTGTGCACGCGCGCGCGCCTCAGTCTGCACAGCCACGGTGCTCGTACTCAGCCGCCGCGGCATTAAAGCATCAGTAGTGTGGCCCATTCGCACTGTTAGTGTGTGCCTGGCCGAGCGGGTAGTGCGGTGCGGTGTCTTCGCATGTGGCTGCGGAGCCACCTCGCATCGTGTGTATAATCACTCCCTGCGGCACGAGAATGCCATGTTGTGTATCTACTCTGTGTTGCGCCATTCCTGAAACATGCTAGTATCCTCCGATCTAGAATGACATGTTGTCCACCGCACGTCGCCCATGTCATCAGAACTCTCATGCAAGAAGCTATCTAGCGCTGCGGACACGCATCTGGCCGGAATATGCCAGCAAGTGGGTAGTTTGGAGGTTTGCTCTTGCTCGCGGGCTCCAGTCCGGAGCCCTTGGCTCAATAGCCTGTGTCCCCAACTCCAAGGCCAGTGGGCGCAGCCAGATCACACAGCTCAAAGGAATTGACGACTTGCAGAGGCTGATGGCGGATCCGCATGACGCGGCACACGTTACACGCAGCCTTTGAGGTACTCGCGTCTCATTCTATCTATGTATGGTTTTGCGACCGCAATCGGATACGCACCTGCGACCACGGCCAGACGCGGCGCGCGGCGGTTTTGGCAGGGCTTTGACTCTTTCAGTGCTTGTCCCAGGGGAGCTGCCTGGCTATGAGAGGCGCAGGTAGTTAGCAAACACAGACTGGAGACGCAACCGGTGGCCTCGCGTACGTACCACCCGGTGCAGACGAACAAATCGCCGTGGGCAACCCCCCCCCCCACCCAAAGGAGGCGCCCGCCCCCAATGCACGGTACACCAGCGTGTCCAGAACCAGCGGCCCCCCCCCCCATCCCCCCCCCACCGCACGCCCCAATAACTCCCCAGGGCCAGCCCCAGTGTCCATCCCCCCAGCTGTACATCCATCAGTGATCAACCCTTCCCCCCCAACGCCCCCACACCCCCCTCCCACCATTGTCACTCAGTCTCCAGGCCCAAACCGCCCCCAGCCCCCATATCCCCCCAAACCAGTCAGGTCCTCCCCCAACCATTCCACACCACCACCCCCCCCAGCGCCAACCCCCCCCGCGACCCCATCTCCCCCCAGCGTACACCCACACCCCACACCAACACCCGCCCCAAGGGTGTCCCATCCACCACGAGCAAGCCAAGAGCTGCCCAGCCCACCAATGTGCACCTCCCAACATTGGCGCCATGCGTCAGTCACCCCCCCATTGCCTCCGCATCGTCTGAGGTCCCCCAGGAACCTCCCAGCCAGGGCCTAAACGGGCCACGCCCCCAATCCCCCACAGCACATAGACCTGGGCAACACCCCCCAGACGGGCACCCTCCCCCGCCCCCACCCAGGCCAGTGCAAGACAGTGGAGAACAACATAAATCTTGCCCACAACCATTGCGAGCCACGCTGCAAGCAGACCCCAGATTAAAGACTCAGGCAAGGCGATCTATCATGTAAGCACTTATTCTAAACTGGCTCTCACGCAGTTAGCAGGCCTCATGTTCACCGGTCCGTTGTGACTCGTTTGAATCTGTTATTGATTGCTGTACATAATAAGTTCTCAGTTTAACCGTTTCCCCTATCATCTGACGTTCTTGTCCTTGCACATAGCTAGCAATAGCTATTTGCTATTTTTACTTATTTGCTTCATAATTGTAGCGCCTAAGGATATTTATCGAAGAGAAATTTCTTCGCAATTGTTTTCTTCATGTCTGAATGGGCATCATTTATGAGTATAAGAATATCTATAGTACCGTTTCTCAAAGGGTGGTCCGCGGATGCCTAAGGGTTCCGTGGGCTACTTTCAGGGAATCCGCGTGCTTTTCAAAAGTGTTACAATTCCATTAGGATATTTTATGGACGCCATCAATCTATTTAACGAATTTATGACAAACATGTTGTGAAAAATTTGAATTTACATTATAGCTTTGTGCATTACATATGGAAACATACCCCATCCAAGGAGGAAGCTTGCTTCTGCAGGGATTTACAGTGTGATCGAAAGAGGCTTTCTAAGTTCAGAAAGATCACTTCGCGGGTAACAGCACTAGCTCAACTCTCATCAGTTGTGGCACGAGGCCGCCCCGTGTTCTCGAAATTCCCAACCAATTTTAAAACATACCCTCTGTTGACAGCCCCATTCCCCAGATTATGCTATTGTATCTTCTCACTGTCTCGGCTGCATTAAACTTGCACTCCCTATGTCATCAAACAATCACCACGCGCTGATCATCAACGAGTTGACGTAACTGAGTTTGCATAACATTCACTAAATGGACTGTATCCTCGCTTTCCGTCTTTGAAAAGGTAATACAATAACAAGGAAAGCTTACCGTGTGCCGCAAGTTATCTGGCAAATGCAACCAATATCCGGACCGCAACCTTTCACCTGTCTGTCCACAACTATGAGATATGGGCTACAATTATCAGAGTCGAAAGAAATTCCTGCCCCAGGTACACAGGTTTGCGGTTAAGCACACCGCCCCGATTTGATAGCCTGACAAAGAATGCAAATTATCTGTCTCTCATAAAGACGTGTGTCTTGATTTGTTGAATTTTTTTAATACGGCAATGCGTCCCGCTTTTCCGATCGTATTGATATATATGCATTAATGCATTGTTAATGCTGGGCAATGCGAAACACTTCGGCATAGGCATGCACATGGCAATACAAAATAGCTCGATGAAGGTACACATATGTTATGTGTTTTATTATTTACCGCCTAGATTTGTTGAGTATGTGCATATGCGACTACATTGTCTGCCTGCCTAGTGGTTTTACATACCTCTTACTTCTCGCCAACCTCGGTGACAAGGGACAGTTGCAGTGCCTCTGGCTTAATTCGACAAGGATAGCCTGCCGTTGAAATAGGAAACGGGATCCACCGTACACACCAACGATAAGTCATTAATGTTCCACTGTACTTAAACTTCTTCCTCATAGTGAGCATAGCTATAATCCCCTTTCTCCCAATGTGGATTTTAATTTGGCTGAGCTGCTGAATAGCAGTGGACTTATGCGTACAATTACCTTGCTAATCTGCATAGTTGCTTACTCCATCGTGTCATCATTTTTTTGTCATCCTTAATCTAGCTTTCATGTAATTCGAGCCTGGGTGCAGTTACGTTCTAGAAGTATGAACTAATGACAGTGAAATTTGCTATAGTTTTTGCAACTTTATAAGACGGTCCGTCTTTGAAAGTTGCAAAAAATCTTATAGCAAATTTCACTGGCATTGTTTCGATACTCTAGAACGTACTACTGCACCCAGGCTCTGAATTACCTGAACGCCAGATTAAGGATGACAACAAAATGAGTGGACCACGATGGAGTACAGCCAACTATTGCAGAGTAGCAAGGTTAATTGTACGCTTAAGTCCACTGCTATTCAGCAGCTTCAGCCAAATTGAAATCCATCATTGGGAGTATAGGGGGCTTATAGCGTATGATCTCTAGGAGGAAGAAGTGTTAAGTATTACACGGGGAAACAGTCATGACTTATCGCTTGGTGTGTACGGTTGGATCCCGTTTCCTATTTCAACGGCAGCCCTATCTTTGTCGAATTAGGCCAGAGGCACTGCGACTGTCCCTTTTCACCGTGGTTGGCGAGAAGTAAGATGTGATGTAGACACACTAGGCAGTGCAAAACAATGTAGTTGCATATGTACATACTCAATAAAATCTAGGTAGTAAATCATTAACATAAAACCAATCGTGCACCTTCACCGAGCTATTTTGTATTGCCATGTGCATGCCTATGTCCGAAGCGTTTCGCATTGCCCAGCATTTAACAATGCATTAATGTATTACATCAATTACGATCGGAAAAGCGGAGCGCATTGCCGTATGAACAAAATCCAATTCATCACGATACGCATCTCTACGAGGGACAGATAATTTGCATTCGTTGTCTGGCTCATCAAATCGGGCAGTGTGCTTAACCGCAACGTGTACTTGGGGCAGTTATTTCTTTCGACTCTGTAATGTAGCCATATCTCATAGTTGTGGGACGAAGTGAAACGTTGCAGTGCTGGTCCGGGCGTGTCTTGTTTTTCGTCTCCGGTCTCTCAGCCGTTCCCGGATTCCGCTATAAATGATGTGTTTCCGGACATCCCGTAGTCCTGCGAATCGTGGTTGTCCCGGACATTGGTTGCATTTGTCAGATAACTTTCGCTCACGGTATGCATTCTCCTTGTTATTGTTTTACTTCTTCAAGGACTCGGAAAGCGAGGTTACAGTCGAATTTAGAGAATGTTTGAACAATCAGTTCGATCAATCGTTGATTATCAGCGGCGTGGTGATAGCTTGATTATATATGGAGTGCGAGCTTACTGCAGCCGAGAAGTGAGAAGAATACAATAGCATATAATTTCGCGGACATGAAGGCTGTCAACGGAGTGAGTATGTGTTAAAATTGGTATGAAGAATGTCAAGACACGGAGGCGGCCTTCGTGGGCCACAACTGATGGAGTTGAGCTAAGTACTGTTTATCCGCGAGTCGACTTTTGAACATGGAAAGCCCTCGTTTCAATCACATGCAAAACTCTGCATAAGCAAGACTTCCTACTTGGGATGGGGTATGTTTCCATAGGTAACGCACAAATCTATAATGTAAACTGTTAGGTTTTGATTTAAATTTTTCCCAGCATGTTTGTCAATTAAATTTATGAAACAGACTGACCGCGTACATAAAAGTCCTACTAGAATTGTAGCTAGCACTTTGGGAAATCACGCGGATTCCTGAAATGATTAGCCACACGAACCCCTAGGGCATCGCGGAACACCTTGAGAAAACACGGACTTAGAGTTCTTATACCATAAATGATGCCCATTCAGACATTGAAGTGGACAATTGCGAGAATAAGAAAATTTCTCTTCGATATAATATGCCATTAGGCGCTACAATTTATGAAGCAAATATAGTTAAAAATTAGCAAAGAGCTATTGTTAGCTATGTGGGCAAGGACAAGAACGGTCAGATGATGGGGGAAACCGGGTCGTAAACTCGAGATACTTATTTATGTACAGCAATTCAATAACAGATACCAAATAATTCACGGAC